TCATCAGCAAGCTAGGCACCATGTGGTGCAGCACTGGGTAAAGGAAATGGAGAAGCTGTCAGCTCCATAGTTGGAGAATGACACTGTGAACTGCAGTAATCAAAACATCGAAATTAATACCAGCGCAAAATCCATCTTTCATTTCGAAGCCATTTGGGCAACTCGCCAGGTTTATTTCCGATTCTGTCATTACTTCAAGCCTGGCGCCTTCGTCAGCAGTATTTCGAGGGTGAAATCGAATATTTACGAATCTACCCGGTCCAATGTTCATGCCTTTCGATGATGCATCGTAAATGATGCTTTCGTTCCAGCTATAAAATACAATAACAACAAATAATAGCAGGCTTTTGCAATCTTCTTAACAAATTTTCGAAAAAATAAGTAATTATTTTTCGAAAACCCAACTCACTAGAACGGTATTTGTGCTTCATTTCCAACGTGCAGCACCGCATGTCCGGCGCCACGAATTAGGCCCGGCTCTTCCTCAGTGAGCTCCTCGGTGGCATTGTCCACCCAGGCATATCTCTGCAATAAAGCTTTTATCACTCCAGCTTTTAAAAACATTTTGATTTCTGTGCTATCCTTACTATTTTTTAACAAAATTTTAAAAGAAGCAGTGAAATCTGAGCTGATTTTAACCTAGAGAGGTGGGGCTTTCCGCTGCAGGGCAAATTTGTTGCTGGAAACACAAGTGAATAATTAAAAAGCCCAAATTTACCAAACAGAAAGCAACAAGTCTTCAAGTTTTAGAAACTGGTAACACTTTGCGAATTTTCATCTAGAAAGTTGAAAAAAGCCTCTCTAAAACTTTGAAAATTTAACAGCATGATAAAATATCTTAGAAACTTTTCCACACTTATCAGGTTTTCCGAATGAATTATTTGAAAGGCTGCAGGGGAGAAGCAAATTAAATCTATTGCTAAAATCAGTTGTGCTTGTAACTGATTCCGTAGCCTGGTGTATGATCATAAACACATTTTTGTACAATGCAGATTTGAAAATTCCGACACATATTCGAAATGTGCTTCACTAAAAACCATATAATTTCACAGCTGCCTCCAAGAAACAAGGAATGGAATGTTCTGGACTATTCCTGATGCCCACATACGGCAAGAACCGTGGAAAAGCAAGGGAAAGGAAGAACCTGCAAATGAAGCAACGGTGTATGGCCACTGAACTGCATTTCGAAGTGCACAGCGTCCTGTTCCAAACCAAGCCCTTTATGATGGATACGCATCTTCTCGCCGTTTTCAAACTGATAATCCATAAAACGATCGAAATGCTCCGAGACAAGCGACTGCTCCTGGTCCGCATTAAACACCAACAGAGGGCAAGCTGCCACCATATATCCGAGCAGAATTACTGTCACTTCATCTGAATTTTTTTTTTTTGAATTATCGGTGGTCAAAGCGGCATTAATTTTGGGGAATGAAAAATCTGAAAACATTTCTTTAACAAATTCATTTGTTTAAAATTGAAATTTTTATAAACAGTAAGCTGCAAAGAAATTTATGGCGTGAGCACCTCACTGTGGCGTGAAAATAGCAACCGACTAGGTAGTGTCAAGGTATAATGGCATGCAAATCTAGGCCACTCCAAACATGTCAAGGAGACACTACGCTATATTTTGTAAGGTTGGACTTGGTAGTAATAACTAACGTCAGCTTAATCGGTGATTGGCAATAAAATAAAGTTATACACTTCTATACGGAATGCAAAACTCACGTTATTACGGAGCTGAAACGAAACAGCCTGATGCAAAATAAAAGTGCCTCCTTTCTTTTTCCCCTCCCCCCACAAAAAAAAAAAAAAAAAAAAAAAAAAAAAAAAA